TCCTTTAGTGCTAAGTTGAGGCCGACATGGATGAGATCGACAAAAAATGAGGAGGTCTTGCTTTTGGTAGATGCCGCTGCGGTTACCTTCTAGCTTGGGATGAGGTCGACATATAGGAGAAGTCTCGAGGTCGACGTATTTCGTCTTGGCAGAAATTCTCCTTAATATTGTGGCTTCGAAGGTATAATCCATAGTGATTGCATTGTGGTTGTCTTACTGGGCTTGAGTATCAAATTAAGCCCCCCCAGGTTCTTAGGGTCAGGCGGGGTACTTCAACAACTTCATCATCATTCTCACTCATAGAATCTGTCTCATATTCATCATTTACCCTTATATCTACATTTTCAAACCAACAATGCATCATCATCATCACCATCACTGTTAGCTCTCTCATGTCATAATCACTATCCAAGAAATCAGACTGATCAATAGTGTCATCTTCTTGACACTCAGCATCATACTGATTATCTTCTTGACACTCAGACTCATGTTGACTCTCTTTTTCTTGGACACCCACATTTGCATTATCAATCTCATTTTAAGCCTCAGCCTCAAAACTATCATTCTCAATATCAGAATTAGATTGTAGCCTAAACCAACCACCCTCTATAAACAAAGTAGAAGGACTAAGTGCATCAGAACCCTCAACATACATAGCCAAATGACTAATCAATTTGTGAGCCAAGGCCCATGTTCTAGTGTCATCATTCCCATTCAACAACTTGTAACTTCACCCAATCATTACAAAATACCTCTTACCACCCACAATCAAAATTTTCAGACATTTGTCTCAAAATCGACGTTGACATTATTTTAGCATCAACGAAGTCAAAATTATTTTATGTCCTCTAATATACTTAGCATAAGGCTCATGCACATATGAACCACCACACCGTAATTCAACAGTTATGAAGTTACTTCTACATTCTACGTAGCAGACCCAAGGAATAAAAAAAAAGGAAAAGACAAACAAAACACAAAAAATAAAAAAAAAAAAGCATTAGGTACAATAAAATNAAAATAAAAAAAAAAAATGCATTAGGTACAATAAAATTTAAACATTGACATCCGACAAAATAAAGCACATGGGACCATAAGGGAAGGGGACCATTTTCGAGAAATGAAAAGGGAGGGGACCATGCTCGATAATTCGTGAATTGAACATACCATATATAGAGGGATTACTATCCCAATATTCTTTTGCCCTAATCCTTGTGGTGTTGTCCATCACATCTAATTTGCTGCGAATTTAGAGTTGAAATGCAAAACAATGAGAGATTGAGATGATTAGGGTTTGAAATTGATTTTTCTCTTCGAATCGATTAGTTAAGAAATTAGGGCTACGATTTTTATTTTAAACCAGGAATGATTTTTGATTTGTTCAGAATTGCCTTTTTTAACTTCATTTTCACGTGCTTTTTGTTTTTTGTTTGTTTGTTTGTTTGTTTTTTTTTTTTTTTATCATTTTTGCCTCCATTTACTACTATTTTCCAGGTCGGGATAATGAAGCACGTCAATGTCACGTGCTTGACCCGGAAGAAAAGTCAATTTTTTGGGGTCGAAAGGACTGAAATTGCACGAAATTTTTAAATAACAGAATCAAAAAGCAAAAAGTTCAAACACTGGGACTAAAATTGCTACGAGGTCAAATCAAAAATATCAAAATTTAATTTTGCCTCATTAACATGATCCCTGAGTCAAAACAGCTGACACAGTCAAAACGACTATTGCTAAACATGACCATAGATATGCCACATGGGTGGATGATGAAGACGATGCACGTCGCTTAGAGCATCTCCAATGCCTCGATCGTCAACATTAAAAATTTTACCATGTGGCAGTAAACAATTGGACTGTTAAGTCATAAGAAAGCACTGTCTACCGATGAAATAATAACTGTCAATTATCATCTCCAACGCACACTTTCATTCATGCACTGTCCATATATTTATTTTGAAATGTACAAAATAAAATATTAAAATTTTTTATATGATTACATGTTTCGAATTAAAAAAATTAGCTTTTATCTCCACGAAATAAAATAAATAATAAAATAGTTTAGTTTTTTAAATGTTAAAAGTGTAAAAAAATATTAATTTTTTTATAACAAAATCAAATAAATAATAAAAGTGAGAAAGTGTGTGTAACAACTCATTTTGAGAAAAAAAAAATATTTAAATTTTAATTACAGATACACAATTAATTGTTTTGAATTAAAAATTGGATTTTATCTCCACGAAATAAAATAAATAATAAGTAGTGTAGCTTTTTAAATGTTCAAAGTGTAATTACTAAAAAATATTAATTTTTTTATAATAAAAACAAATAAATAATAAAATTGAGAAAATGTGTGTAACACGTAAAATTGAGAAAAAAATATTAAAATTTTAATTATAAGTTGTTTCGAATTAAAAGAAATTAACTTTTATCTCTACAAAATAAAATAAACAATAAAATAGTTTAGTTTTTTAAAATGTCGAAGGTATAATTACTAAAATAAATATTAAAATTAAAATTTTAATTACAATATATAACTAATTATTTCAAATTTAAAAATATGATTTTCATCTAAAAAATAAAATAAATAATATTAGTGGTTTTTTCTCATTTTTTAGTCGTTTGTGGAACAGACTTTCTAGGGTTGATCCAACCAAAACCACACCTCCCACGCAGTAACCAAAGGTTATCCTTAGCCTTTTGGCCCAAAACCACACTTCATTTCGACCTTCACACCCATAATGCCCAAAGGTTATCCTTAGCCTTTTGGCCCCAAACCACACTTCATTTCGACCTTCACACCCAGAATGCATTTGCTCACCGCACCTTCAGTTGCAGGCGGCTTTTCCTTTCTCGCCCAATTTTCGAACTCCGACTGCAAATATGATAACCCCCTAATAAACCTCTTCTGCAACTTCCCTTCAAACAAGAGGAGGGCAGCTTCGCTTAGCGCTTTAAAAGTGTCGGTTTCAAATGGCAGCAGCACGAGTCCAGTTGATGGGCTCTATCAATCTCTACACATTGATGATCCTAAGCGTGCCCGGGTGTGTGTGTGTTTCTCTTGTTTTTGCTTTGAAATTTTCGATTCATCGCTTGTTTGGAATGTGTTCGAAGAAGAACAGTAAAATCCTGAGCAACTGCAGATAGTTTGGATGATTTCAGTAAAATATTATAGAATTATTGATCTGATTACTTTGATACTTGATAACTTCTTTTATGACTTTCAATTATGAGCTTTTTACTTATTTCCTTTGTTACAAAAGAAGTAGAGGCTTGCGGATTGGAAAGCTGCAAGGGTGTACCTGGACAAGGGAGTCGTCTTTGAGGGAAAAGTTGAAGGATATAATGCTGGTGGCTTGCTGATAAGATTTTATTCCCTTCTTGGTTTTCTTCCATTTCGGGAGTTGGCCCCCTATCATAGATACAAAGGTATTTTATTAATCTCTGATATTGAAGTCTAGATTCACGCAGGAAAATTGTTCTCTTGGTTTCTAAACATAAATTTATTCGGGACAAGACTCATGGTTCAATATTCTGTGAAGAATTTTGTAAGTCCAGCTAGGGGATGCTAGACTTTGCGAACCAACAAATGCATTATCCTCATGTTGAGGTTTGTTGAAGCGTGAGTTGTGATAAGCATGCTAAATCAAGTTAAAGTTTGAGATGAAATTAGCATGTTTTAATCAAGTTACAGCTATTTTTTATGCTACTTCCATAACTAAATGATTGCTCTATTAGTATTGGCATGACAACCTGCCTTTTTTCTTTGCTGCAACTATGAACCAGGATTAAAGTAGTATTAGTTCATTAGAGCCAATCTCTCCCATTAGTCAGACAGAAGCAATCGCTTCAGATTCAAGATTCCCGGTTGGACCGATTCAATTCAAGGGATTGAAAGAGGAAAGTCCGAGAGATAAAAAGAAAGCAGCATAATTACGATCTCTCTTGAGTAGAATATTCAAAGCTTTTGAGTAAGGATGGATTTGGAAGCAAGTGAAAGAAGCATAGCAGTCAAAGTTAAGTCCTTTCTTTTTAGAGGGTGATATTAGGGTTTTGAGATCGGCCCTGACGTCGAAGATGTTATCGACCTGAAAAGCTCCACAGAGAAAAAGTACGTGGGTACTACGAAATTGTTCTCGAATCAGCTCGCAATTGAAGAAGATAGTTCTTCTTCTAACTATCGAGATTTAAATATGCTCGACGCGAACGGAGAGGGTCGATGTAATTGAGATATATGATTGGGAGAAGGAAGAGTGTATTTGAAAATCGAGCCACACAGTCCATATAGGAAGGTATTTAGTAAACTTTAAGAGGTGGCTCCTATGTGCCACTCATATTAACCTTTCTACTTTAGCATTATAGCAAAGCAATGTGCGAAGCGCTAGGTAGACAAAGCATGAAAACCCTTTGATGCATAATAATAATAATAATAATAATAATAATAACAATAATAATAATAATAATAATAATTATTATTATTATTATTATTATTATTATTAGTTAGCTTGGAGAATAAGCTAGGGTTTAGTTTAAGAGTCTTATTTAAAGTGCTCTTATGCTTTGTTATTAGGGGGTTTTCTGAATGAAATAAGATTTGATTAGTTTTATCGAGAGAGTATCTCGTTTATCCTTCTCATTCGTACGCTTCCCTACATCACGCGTAAAGGGAAGCACTTCGAAATGACTTCAAGTGGCTTAAAGGACTTGAAGAGCCTGATTCTAGCTCTATTGAAGGGACTTTTCTTTCCTAGAACCCTTTGGGCTATATAACCTGTAAAACCCGGACCACTTCTTCTCAATCACCTCCCGTATCACTAGAATGGAGCGGAGCTTAGAATGAAGCTGAGCCTGGAAAAAGCTCTCTTTGGTCGGAGCTTTTCCCACCGGCTTGCTCTTTCCGCCCTTTCAGTCTCGGGATTAACCTCGACGGTCTGGTACCCATTCCAACTTGCAATCCAATCAAATGATGAGCGGCTGCCAATATGTCTTGTTGTAACAAAAATGTATTGTTTTGGGGTATATCAAGGTTCAGCCGTCGGTTCATATTTCATCAACCAATCCTTCATAATTCACATTTTTGTTGAAAGAACTTCTTTTGTAATTCGTTTTCGGGATGCCGCCAATATCCAACGAATGTCAAGTACTTTTCCTTTTGTGGATCCAATTTCACTAGGAACTTTCCGAGTCGATCCACTTACACTTCTTAGTTCTTTCTTTTACTGCTATATTGGGAGTTACTCTACGTATTTCTTGACGTAAAACAGATAGTGGATTTCTGCATGTCTTTTGTTGAATTTTTTTATGGCTTGATAGAGATTTTGATAAGCCAATGATTTTCTTTCGTGTTTCAGAATATGGTTAACCAACATGTTAACTAATTGATTATGATAAATTGGATCGGATTTTGCTGTATTTTTTCTGCAGTACATTGGAGTGACATTTCGTATTAGGGTTTATACATAACCGAGTCCTTGTTTCGAGTGTATTCAAAGGTCTAGAATTTTTCTTTAGACCTTTAATGCGAATTAGCAAATCGTCATTGAAACCTTTCCTTTTTAGATGATACCACCAAGGGTTGTAGGTGAAGCTTTTTTGTCCGATATCCTTTATTTTATCATTTCCAAAAACATGGGTTTTGTCGATAAAAAAAGAAAATGGACACCTCTCAGGAGTATCAAAGCTGTGACATGAATCGTAAATGCATGGATATGATGTACCAAAAAATCCTCAGTTCCTAATGGAATAGGTAACAAAGCCACTGCTACTAAATCACCACCAGGTTAGGTTAAACTGGTGCTTGTCGGGGTCTTTGCGCTTGGGGCTAAAGCATGGGTATTTTGTATTCATTGAGCAAAAACGGGTTGTAATTGTATAGCGGTATCTGAAAACATATCTTGAGGAAAGGTGCTCAAGGTATTGTTGTTCTCACCTGCCTGCGGTGTGCCATAAGGGGTCTCCCATAGGTACACGAGCTCTATCTGCAACCAGAAAGTATGAAAAAAAGTCAATTTGGGGTATTCTCTCAATTCCAATAAAATGAAATAGTATCAAGTATGAGCATTATGAATATACAAACCAAAACTGTGAAAGCCCAGAAATATACACAAAGAGTGTATCGAAATATTAGGATTAAGGTGCAATTGATTCCGTTAAACTTCTTAAAAAGGTTAAACTTAAACAACATGACTTAGACATTCAAAGGCGAGTTTCTTTTGACACACAAATATGAAGCACGATTATTCTGTCACTAGACCGAGAATATTCCATGTATGGAATTATTTTTGCATGATATATGTTTAAATGGGTTCAAATAACATGAATAGATTATTTCTCATCTTTGGCCATTACAGGTATCGCTCTATATATTTATTTTGTCTATTTGGTTAAAAGGAGTTCTAAACCAGTTTAGCGATAACCTTTTTGTCATATGTCAAGGATCTGTTGTGAAGGCTAACTGTGGTTCATAAACTACTTTGATTTCTTAATCTTGTCAATTGTGTACTCTGCTTGCACATGGAACCTAAAGGTAATGATTTCATCATGTTCAAGTTAACAAACTTGGATTTGTTATTGTTGAAAATATTTTTGGAAAATGGATATTGAATACTAAGATGCATTTGACATAGGATGGAAATTTGATGTTCTTGTAGAAAAATAGCAATTATGTATAATTAGTGAAGAATAACAGAGACCGAATAATATAATTGTGATAGGATTATCTAATGATGATAATTGATGGCAATGTGTTTTTAGTTAATGTAATAATTGGATATGATAGGTGAAGATACAACAACAACAAGCCGTTAAAATCTCACTGAGAGCATCTAAATGTATTGGGTCTAGTCTTGCTTATGTGGCATGTAAATAAACCCAAGTCTTGAATGACATGGATAAAACTATGTAAAATTGATAAAATCCACTCCAATGCAAAGAGTCTAGGTCTCTACTTGGGTCTAAAATAGACCTAAGGGTAGACCAGGTCTCTTTTTCTGACTGCTACATCAGCAAGACTCAGTCTACTTTTGTTTGCATTGGAGAATACATTTTTTTAGACTAGATCTATTTCTTAGGTGACATCCAATTTTTTGTGGTTGAACCTAAAGCATTGTGGATGCTCTAAGTGGGGTCGGCTATATGGATCACATGTCACCATAGTGCTCGATCAAAACACGTATCCTCATTCAAATTTAAATAAATGGAAGATAAAGTGAGAATAAATGGATCACTCTGACAACCATCCATAGACAGTTGACAATAAAAATACTGGATGGAAAATTTACAAAACAACTTTTGAAGCAAGCACAACCATTATTATTTTCTGACATCTGTCTCTCATTTTACTCTTTTTGTGTCATCTACCAATTCTTTTGAAGACTAAGTGTTGCTGGACTTTTAGTTCTTTGCCAAATTTCTGTATCTTCAGCTTCATTGATTTACGTTATAAACACTGGCCTCTAATTTTTAGTTCTTATGCAGAACCTCATAAGACCAGCCAAGAGATTGCAAGATCTTTGGTGGGTTCTGTTATTTCTGTGAAGGTATGGGTTCTATAACTTATGTATATTCAGTGTTTTTCTTTTGTCTCCCCTCCTTTTCTTTTTCCCTTTATATCCTTTCTTGATGCTAGGTTAAGTTGCTAAGTTTTGAATGGAACTTCTTGATGCCACAACTTGTGCTACTCTTTTTTTCCTCGTTTTTAAAGCCATGAGTAATTTATTTGTTTTTGGATAATTCATGAGGTGAAGTATGGAATTTTATGTGCTTGCATTTAATACTTTCTGCTACATGTCATACATAGAAATCAAAACATGTTCATTGATCAAGTAGACAAGTACAACAGTCTCTTCATACTGCTAAATTCTCAATTACTTAAAATACATATTTAATTGCAGATCCAGTTATTCGAAATTTGAAAATATTACTTATAACTTCGGAATATAACTTATAAAGCTGAGAATATGACTTATAAAGCTGACAGGACAACACGGCAGCAGTATCAATTTTTGTCTTGAATATGTCATATCGTTGATGGAAAATGTTGAAATGATGCGTTGTTGTTATTATTTAATGGTATTGCACAAAGAACAGTGAATTGAAATAAAACCAATTTTTAGCTAAGGTCGAAACTATATAAAATATTATTCTTATTGTTGTTCATTGCTGGTTATTATGATGATTATTAATGTATTTCAGTGATTATCCTCTGGCAACTTAGTTGAGTGAATGAAGTGGTATAAAATAGCTCTGTGTGGATATGCGTTAGTTTGTGTTGGTTAAATGTAATTTATATTGAAGTTTTGTTGAATTCCCATATAATGTCTCCTTTAGAAAACCTAACAAAGTTGAATGGTTCAAAACAAATGTCATTGGTTGTTACTTGGTTTTCCTTGGGGCAGATGAGCACCTCCTCATATCTTTTGTTGTGTTTCTTTTATATCTGTGTACTAGATGTCGAATTGGCTGGAACTTCCGAAGGTTATTTGGTTACATTGTTTATAGATCCTCTTTGTGTTATAAAGTTAATCCAGATTTGATATTGTTGTTTGTCATTCTCTGAACTAGCACGGGTTACCTAGCACGTATTTACCAATTTTAAAGTTGTATTTATAAAATAGGGTTATACCATACGCAATTTATCTTATATTAATATTTACATAGTTGGGAAAGGAAAAGGGAGTCGTGAGAGGGGGCATGGGCAAATTTTGAAAATTTAATTCCAATGGAGGGTAAAAAAGTAAATTCAACCTAAAGGATATAATTATCAATCCTAAACCAAACAAGTTAATGGGCTAATTGAATTGGTGGACAGCCTTTGAAATAATCAAGAAGATTATATCAAGCCCAATTCATTATTGCAACCAAACCTACCGTAATAGATTTGGCTTTTATGGTATTTTGGCTACTCAATGTTGTATTCTTGTATAAGTGACTTCTTGCGCTGCAAACTGAACAATAAGTTCTGAATCTGCATCCTCCATTGGATTGAATTTGGCGTACTTTTCAAGGTAATTTGTAAGTAAGAGCAAAGGCATTTGCATAGTTTCTTTGAGTTATGGATTCTTTCTAGGAAGCTGACACTCATGATGCCAAGTAATTAACCAAATGACTATTGAATTGGGAATAGTTTTTTATTGACGCAACTGTTGTAATACTGATTTCTCTTTCAGCGTTATAACTGTGCTACTGAGTGTGACATCCTCAAATATTCTCATGATAGTTAACAGTAAACCCTTCTCTTTGGGAGAAAAAGGGAAAAAGAGCAGTAAATAACATTTAAATTCTCGTTCAGGTGATCGAAGCAGAGGAGGCTAATAAGCAGTTGACATTCTCTGAAAAGGAGGCCAGCTGGTCAAAGTTCTCTCCTCAACTGAAGTTAGGAGACATTTATTATGGCAGGGTAGGATCTGTGAGGGATTTTTGCGCCTATGTTCATCTCCGTTTCCCAGATGGTATGTATATGTACTTGGTATAACACTTTTCGGTATTTTTTGTGTGCATATTTGGTGTAGCAATTGTTGGCACAACAAAAACTTACACATATCTGTGGGTTATGATTTACTGGTTTAATACGCAGACTAGGTCAAATCAGGTCCGATCCGAATAATACAAATTTAAGATTGGTGGCTGAAGATTTAGTTTGAAATGATGCAATTGACTTATTTGACCCCATTATGATGTTATTGTGTCAGTTGGAAAATCCCCCTTTTTGTTGCATATATCGTTAGTCTAATTATTTAACTGTAAAATGATCAAATTTAAGTAATTAAGAGAAAATAAGACGTATGACTTGTATAATTCAAAAACTATAGAAGCATTGGTTTCTTAAAATGGAGTTGGAGAAAATGATAACATGTGTCAGTTTAGGGTTAGGAAATCTGATATGACCAGTTAAATGGGCAAGACTGAGTTGAAAAATCTTGCACAAAGAATAAGGAGGTTATAGTGTAATTGATTATGATAGAAATTACACCCCTGGTGCAAATTATCGGATATTACAATCTTACTCCTGGATTTTTGCAGGGCTTTATCATCTCACTGGAAAACTGCCTGTTTCAGATATATCATGGGACTTGATCCATGATGCAAGAGATGTCTTGACTGAGGGTGATGAAGTAAGAGTCAAAATCGTGCATATAGATAGGTAACCACAATATTCTACTCTAAATCCTATAAATATGTTCCTTTCACTCGTTGATATTGCTATTATAGAGTTGCATGCACACCAATAAATCCTCGTGCCCGTATATGTGGCTTCTTTCCTCATTCAAACAAGTATGTTCATATGCACAAGTATGTACAATTTATATTGACCATTATCTTGCAGGAAAAATGCAACGATCAAATTATCCATAAAACAACTGACTGAAGATCCTCTTCTAGAAACTTTAGACAAAGTTATTCCTCAGGTACCTGCACTTTATTTTCTATGCTGAGCAATTTTCTAACTTTCAGTGTACAGTCGAAACAATGATGCATGTGTTACAGGATGTCTCAGCAGATCCTGATGCATTAGATGAAAGCGAACATTTTACCATAGAACCTTTTCCTGGGCTTGACGCAATACTTGAAGAGCTATTGAAGGAAGATGGGTATGGTTGTAGTGAGAAAAGTATAAATTCACTTATCCAGATTCCAGTGTTCTCGTAATTTCCTTATATGGGATAGCTAAGCAACTTGGACTTTGCTTGGTTTTGCAGCCCATACTTGGTTGAGTTATGGGAACAAGAAAACTTGACAAAAATTCTCACATGAATGCTTCCACATTCTGAATCTTATATGCTCTTTCGTTCTTTTAAAAGGGTCAATTTTCCTGGCTCAAGAGGTTTTCTAATTTATTTCGTTCTAAAAGTGCATGTTTATCTGTTAGTCCTTCGGTACACATTTTTTGGCTCCATATAGTTGGAAAGTTACAGTGAATGCCTGACCATACATAGTTGGCACCGGTTTTTTTAATTTTTGAGCTGTGTTTCTGCATATTTCAGCATAGATGGTGTGAAGATCAGTGGACAAGGATATGAGAAAAGGGTAGTTTCCCAGGATTTGCAGATTTGGCTTTCAAATGTAATAAACTACTACGTCATCTCGTAGTTTATAATAAACTTTGATGTTATTCTGCATTTTAGTTGCAGATGTAGGGGAAAATCATTATGCATTAAATCTCATATCTTTCTTGTACAGGCACCACCTAAAGGAGATCAATTCACCCTTCTTGCTCGAGCGGGAAGACAGGCAAATTACCATCAATACTACTTTATTTTCCTCTCTCTCTATCTCGTTCTGAATATAACATTTGATGTTCAGGTGCAAGAAATACAACTGTCGTCATCACTTGATCAAGATGGAATTAAGAGGGCACTGCAGCAGGTGCTGGGACGCATTCCATGAATTTCTACGCCCCGCGAGAGTATTCTCTATTTGTGTGACCAATTCCCATTTATTTATTCACGTTTTTTAAGAGACTAGTAAAACGTAGCACGTGATGTATGATTATTTTGTATTTTGATTATACATTATGTTTGTTTTATTTGTGGTTTACTTATCAGAAAATCTTATCTTATAGTTTTCTTATCTATGGGGACTCGTTAATGAATGGCCACAATAGTGAATTTATTTCTCATAATTATATTATGTCTCTTAATTATTTATGCATGTGATTAATTGCTGCTTTATAACAACAACAACATACCCAGTATATTCCCAACAGGTTGGGGTCTAGGGGGTCAGTTGTACGCAGACCTTATCCTTGTAATTATACAAGGAGGCTGTTTCCGTAGCGACCCAAGGTGCATTGTGCCGTTTGATATATTTTTTTTCTAGAAACTTCACTAATAGAAGAAGCACTAGAATTTAATTGAACTATTTTGATCTAGTTCATTATTAGCACTATGACAAGAGAATTTAATTGAGCCATAATTGCTGCTTTATAACATGTGATTAATTTAGAATTGCATAATAAAATTAAAAATTCTCATTAAAAAATTATACTAAGTTTGAGAAGAAATTTTACAATTAAAGCTAATTTTAAAATTCTATGGCCTTCATTTCTAGTTTGTTAGCAAATCAGTTAATCTAAGTGTGGGCTATGCCAAAGTGCCATCGGCGACACTACTTAGATTAATTGTAGGAAATTATCAGAACAAACTGCTAATTGGACAATTATAGATATTCATATAGAGCGCGCGGACCCCGCCACCAAGGACTTACAATCATATATGATGACCTTAGGATCGTGAAATGAGTTTTACTTAGAATGCGATAAATTTCATAATTTCCCACGGAGTCCCTGAATGTTATTGTATGGCCAAAAGGAAATCGAGTATTAGTTTTGTTCGTCATGAATTTAGTTTTGGTTTATGAAAACTAATGGGTGCTTGAAAAACCATTTTCTTGCGAGAATGTTGAGTACGTAGGGCTCCCCACGTAGCATATGTTACTCTCGGTGTTTTGAGAAGTCGATGAATTTAAGTTAATATTCTTTTGAGGATACTAATGAAAACAGTTAAATTCAAAAGTGTGTTTGATTAGTAAAATATTTTCATGATTCTCAGGTCATATTCAATATGTCGTTCAATCCGTTGTCTGTGGATATAAAAGAAAATCAACTTACTGGCTCAAATTGCAATGCTGACTGAAAAGGAGCTTGGACATAGTGCTAACTGCTGAAGGGTACAAATATGTACTCACTGAGGCTTCTCCGAATGTTCTCGAATGGGGGGTAACAGATCAAAGAGAGAAAAGAGCATGCCAAATGGAAGAAGGTTGATGAGATGGTGAAATGTTACATTTTGGCTTCCATATCAAATGTTCTTCAACATCAACAACAGTCTATGCTTACTGCGGTAGACATACTCTCCAATCTCAAGGATCTATTTGACCACCAGTTTCGGGCTCCCAGGCAGGAAGCCATGAGGGTACTAATGAATCTGCACATGACTGAGGGCATACCCATGATAGAGCATGCTCTTCAGATCATGGCACAATTCAATAAGCTGGAGGTCCTAGGGGTATTTATCGACGGGGAAACCCAGGTTGATATTATGCTTCAATCTCTACCGAAAAGCTTTGATAAGTTTCGATTGAACTACAACATGAATAAGATGTTGTTATCTCTTCCGAAACTGTCAGCGGAAGGCCTGTTTCGTCAGAACACTCAATTATTAGTCGTTGAGCAAGCCGAGCCTTCTTCTTCTAGGCCCAATAAGGGTAAGAAGAAAAAAAAGTCTACAGGAAAGGCGAAGTCATAAATGGCAGCAGTCACTATATGATCGGCCCCTCAAGCAGTGGAAAAGAAACCAAAAGGAAGATGCAACAAGTGCAACAAGTCACGACATTGGAAAGTTGACCGCCATCTCCTCAAGAAGGGTAAGGAAGGTAATTCTCACACTTTTGTCGTAAAAACATGTTTAGGGTTGTGTCTACCAGTACCTGGTGTGTAGACATTGGAGGCACTGATCATATCTGAATTCTTTGTATTGTTCCAGAAAACTAGACGACTTAAGGAAGGAGAGATCCATCTACATGGCCAACGCTATGGTTGTAGCATTTGTTGCAGTGAGAGGGGCAAAATTTCAATTTAAGTCCACTAAGTTGGCACTTTTCCGAAATTGGTCCATCACAAAAACAGTCCACAATGTTGCCAATTTAACCAACTTACATCCATTTTTCATGACGGATTGATAACCTGCTGACTTGGACGGATTATTTGCTTACGTGGGATGTACAAATGCAATCTGTCTGGACAGGTCGGTTACAACTTTACATGTGGCTTTATGTGGATCTAGATCGATCGACTTATAAATCAAAAGGCACATCTCAATCCCCAATTTCTTTTCATCCACATTCTAAACCCTAATTCGAGAAGCAGAAGAAAAAATCAGAGCTGAAAAATTTGAGAGAGTCATGTCTTCTTGTTCGCAAGGTTCATCATCGAACATTTTATGCCTTTGCGGCTTCCCAGCGAAGCTAAGGGCTTCAAAAACAAGCTCAAATCCTGGAAGAAAGTTCTATGGCTGTAGAGATTGGAGGCCGGATGGAGCGGGGGGATGCCCTTTTTTTTTCATGGTACGACACAACTGAGATAGGGAAAATGGAAGCTGAAGGCAAAATCACGTCTGCAAAACTTGAATCTGAAATTGGGTCCCTGAAGGAAAAAATGGCAAGGTTGGAATTGCTTGAAGAAGAAACAAAAATCATGAAGCAGAAATATGAGATTGAATTGAAGAAGCTAAACCGAAGAATTTGGAGATTGGAATTGTTGGTATCTTTAACATTTGTTTATGTTTTAATTGCGTATTTTATGAAGTAGTATGAAGTAGTAATAGATTGGAACTCTATTTTGGTGAAGATGGAATTGAAGTAGGAAGGAGTGTAATTGAACTGTTTTGCTGTTGTTGTAATGATGGAATTGAATCAGAAATCATGATTTGTTGTTGCACTTGAAGATGGATATGTTGGTGTTTGCTGTTTGGAACATTTTTTTTGTGCTGTAATATTTAAATAGCTCTTCTTATAAGACAAAGACATACCAGGTTCCATAATGCACAACCAAATATTTGAAAAGTTGTAAAAACAAATAAATCATCCTGCCAACATTCATTCAAAAGTTGTAAAAATCCTGCCAACATAAGGCTGTCCATTCACATTCAAATGTAACATTCATTCAAATCATAAGTTTCAAAAAGGTTGTCCATAGCAACAATTACAACACCAAAGTTTTCAAAACTACATAACCATCATAGCACCAACCAGCAACAATTACAACACCAAAGTTTTCAAAACTACATAACCATCACAGCACCAACCAAAACCAACAACCAAAACCAACATACTTTTCAAAACCTTCCTACAAACATCAGTCATTGTTCTTTTCTTTTGCCTTTCCTTTGTGCATCCATAGCAGCTGCAAGAGAAGACACAGAAACATACTTAACCCCCCTTTCTTTGAAAATTTCCTTCAATCTTGTATCTCTTTCTGAGAGGCAGGATTCTTGACTTGGAATAAAATGGGCACCAACAATTGGAGGTGGTGCTCTAATGTTCACACCAGAGACTGCTGATGACCCTTGCTGAAACTGAGAGTACATGGATGGTGGTTTCTTGAATTGATTCATATTAGGGGCCAAAGTGAAATGAGACTGTCCACCCTTTGGTTTGTGCTTGGATTTATCCTGCATCACAAATAAATAAATAAAATAAATCATACAGTAACTATATTGATTTAACAATAAAAACAGAACAGAGACAAACTATATTACTATATAGTTTTACCTTTGCTGGAGCAACACTTTCTTGGGTTAGAATTGCTGGGGCAGGTTCCCTAATCTCCTCCACCTGTTAAATCAAAACAAAACAAAAAATTTCAAAAGACCAACACATTTTTAATTCACAAAAAAGTCACATTATGACAGAGAATTTACATTGGCATGATTGACACTCTGATGGGATGAAGTATGACTTGATTGGACAGTTTTAGTCCTCCTCACCTACAAAAAAAATGTACAATGTTTAAGGTTTAATACATAGATTGCAATTGCAAGTATGAAATATAGACTCATAAAGACAGGGAATGAGTTAGTACCTGCAATTTTGTAGGCCTATTTTCTCTGCCAATTGCCACAGGTTCTGCATTTCCCTCCTTAATCAACAGACAACCTTTTTTGTTGTGCCCCTCCACATGACAAAAACTACATTTCAAACCAGTTTGTTGTCTCTTAATGGTGGCCATATTAGTGACAAATCTGGGTTTCACTCTACACCTTCTTTTCTTTTGAGGCTGAACTTCATCTGATTCAAGCCTCCTTGCCCTAGTAGGCCTGCCAGGTGTCCTACCATCATTAGGAGGCAAAGGTGGTAAATACCTGTCTGTGGCCATTCCTTTCTCCCATTGATTGGCATAATAGCAGGCTCATACACCTTTCTGTATGTTTCAGTTCTGTAGGAAGAGTGAGTGAAGTCTGCTATGTCCCACCCTTGGTAATGAACAGCACTGACAGCATGAAGGCAAGGAATCCCACTAAGGTCCCATCTTCTACACCCACATGTATGATTTCTGAGGTCCACTTTGAACTGCTCACCATTTGCACAATCAATTTGAAAATGGAAGTCATCAGATTTCAAAGGAATGCAGTCAACTAGGTTTTCAATGTGGCTATCTATTATGTCTCTGATCTTAGGACACAATACAAAATCCCATCCTTTTGCCTTGTCTCTATTCTCTTGAAGCCTCTTCATTAAGTACCCCATAATCCACTCAAGCATAGATAAAATAGGCATCTCTCTAGCTTGAAGGATGTTACAGTTGAAGGTCTCACATCCATTGTTTAAGAGCATGTCACATTTTGGAAATACATTAAAGTGGGACCTGCTCCATTGGTGGGGAGGTTTGTCATGAAACCAATTAAATGCTTCCTGGCCCAAAGCCCTAAGAGCCTCCATCTTCCTTTTGAAGTCATTCACAGTAGTGGCTGTGGCAGCTCTCCAAACTGCATTTTTAAATGCAATCCCTCTGAACCCTGCATTCCTGAAATTACCAAGAAGGTGTCTGACACAAAATCTGTGATCTGCATTGGGCAGAACCTGCTGAAATGCTTGGATCAACCCTTTTTGTTTGTCAGAGATGAAGGTCCACTCAGACTGATTATTTATATCCAAGTCTTTCTTCAAAAGCAGGATAAACCACTCCCAGTTTTCCTTGTTTTCCTTGCTCACTACAGCATATGCAAGAGGGTAGAGTGAATTGTTAGGATCTACTCCAACAGCAGTTAACAATACTCCCTTGTTAGGACCTTTAAGGTGACAACCATCAACTCCAATAAGGGGTCTGCACCCTGCCTTGAACCCTACCTTCAATGCACCCAAACAAATATAGAATCTATCAAATAAATTCTGTTCATCAGTGCCTACAATCACAGTAGTCCCAGGATTTGTTGTCCTTATTTCCTCACAGTAATCCCATAGAAGTTTATACTGATCACTAGGGATACCCTCCCTATCTGCAAGTGCCTTCATTTTGCTCATGTATGCCTGTTGATTGGAAAAAGTAACCCTAAGCTCCCTCACTTTAGAGATTCTAAACCCCTTCACTTTCCTATCTGGATCATCCTGCCACTCAGAAGCATACTTACCAGCTAACCAAGTTGAAGTAATATTTTTCACCTTCCCTGTGCAGGCACAAGTATGCCTAGGAGTGTACTTGATAACTTGGAAAGCTTGATCATTCAAAAGCTTAACAGCATGCAACTTCCAATTGCAAGATTTATCCACACATTTAGCATGAAAATATTTACCATCATTCTTTGAGATTCTGACTGATCTTTTTGATTTTATAGCCCTAGACTGAATAGCAATCCTAAGTTCACCTCTATTGCTAAACAACATCCCTACTTTGAAAGTAGGATCATAAATTTCAGCAGAGTTGAACATAGGAAACTTAGGGTTTTCAGTATCCTCATCACAGCTATTATCACTATTTAGTTCATCATTATAAACCAAATCCCTATCCTCTAACTCCACCTGCTCATTGACCACTCTCTCATTTTCTAATGTTTGGCCAGGTAACCACTCAGCATCAATGTCAACATTTTCAGCAAACATTTTGTCATCAACTTGCTCATCCTCCATGTCATATTCAAACTCATATAAATCATCATCACTATCATCTGTTCCTTCATTCTCTGTTTCCCCATCATTGACATCACTTTCTGATAACTCTCTCAGAAATTCATCTATGTAACTTTCATCTACACCTTGAGTTTGCTCATGACATTCATTTGGCTCACAATCCCCTAACCCTTCACCATCTCCCATCCCAGTTTTAGCACCTAACCCTTCACCATCTCCCATCCCAGTTTTATCCCCTAACCCTTCACCATCTCCCATCCCAGTTTTAGCACCTAACCCTTCACCATCTCCCATCCCAGTTTTAGCATCTAGCCCATCACCATCCCCCAACCCAGTTTCAGCACATAATCCCTTACCATCCCTCAACTCAGTTTCAACACCTAATTCCTCACCATCCCTCAAACCAGTTTCAGGCCCTAACCCAACACCATCCCCCAAACCAGTTTCATCCCCTAACCCATCACCATCCCCAAACCCAGTTTGAGCACCTAACACAGATCCATCTCCCAACTCACTTTCAGCACCTGATAACACAGATCCTACAACATAAAAGAACACTTCCCTCATGTTGCGTAGTTCTTCAAAAACAGACTCAAATTGAGTTTGTGTGGTAATCAAACGATGTTTTCTAGATATAATGGTGTAGATAACAATAGGGTTAGGGCATCCTTTAATTCTAGCCAAACCCTTAACATCAGATAAAGAAATCTCATTCTTATCAACATAGTCAAATACCATACTCTCCCCACCTAAATATGCTGAGTATTTAGGCCCAATATCAAAGAATCCTCCATAATGAATAGCAACAGTAAAGAAACTATTTGTTCCTCCTGCAAATAAAAACCAAAAAAAAAACGAAAAAAAAATATTAAACATTGGACCTACATGTCCCCTCATCAACCTATTTACAAACAAAAATAGCAACTTCTACTTACCATATTGCGGACATGATCGATACGCATCCTTCTTAGCCCGCAACTTCAGTTTGCAACCAGAAATAGCAATTCCTCGGGCGATTCTCTCAATAGGCTTCATATTCCGTTTTGATTTCGTCATTGATTAAGCGATTGAGATGGATTATTCGAGAATTCAATTATATTCTGACATTAGGGTTAGGGTTTTTTTTAGCGAGTGAAATTTTTGAAATTGGGTCGACGAGATGAATCGTTATTTTTTATTTCTGTCTATTTATAGTCGCGTTTGATATTTGCTAATCCATCCACGTATGAAACGCCACAATGTAATCCTCCCACGTAAGCAAATAATCCGTCCAAGTCAGCAGGTTATCAATCCGTCATGAAAAATGGATGTAAGTTGGTTAAATTGGCAACATAGTGGACTGTTTTTGTGATGGACTACATGATGGACCAATTTCGGAAAAGTGCCAACTTAGTGGACTTAAATTGAAATTTTGCCCAGTGAGAGGGGTTACTTTGCTTTTTAGTGGTACTAGTTCGGTTTTAAGTCATTGCCTTTATGTTCCAAGTTTTAGAAAGAATCTTATTTTAGTTTCTAAACTTTTTATGGATGGTTTTTCTGCTTCGTTTAATGGCAAGGTTATTATTCGTTATGGGAATCGTTTCATCTGTTCTGGTTCATTAGTAGGCAATCTGTATGTTCTTAAACCAAACTATCCCACAATGCAACAAGTGGAACTGATTAATGTAACGACTAAATCTAATAATAGGAAGGAACCTTCGCAGTTGAATCAACCATATACTGGTACATTTGACTTGGGCACATCAACCTTAGGAGGATTCAAAGGTTGGTATCTAGAGGACAAATCGGTCCACTAGAAGATAACTACCCAACTTGCGAGTCATGCCTGAAAGGTAAGATGGCCAAGAGTCCGTTAACGGCCAAAGGGCGTAGGTGCGATATTATGCTAGGATTGATTCATTCTGATTTGTGTAGTCCTATGTCGATCCAGTCTAGACATGGCCAAAATCCGGGCCGACGGGCTCAGAAATAATGACCCTGAACCGGCACGGATCTATACTCGTGCCGGGTTCGTGTCCGGTTCGGCCGGGTCCATTACTTTTTTAAAAAACAATAGAAAAAAATAAAAAAGGTCAACGGGTTTGACCGGGCCGAGTCCGGGTCGGGCGGCCCTTGGCCATGTCTAATCCAGTCTAGAGGAGGTTTCGATTATTTTGCCACTTTCAATTACTCGAGATTTGAGTACGTCTACTTGATGCACCACAAGTCCGAATGTTTTGAGAAATTCAAGGAATGTCGGACAGTTGGGAGAAGCTTCATAGTAAGAGTATCAAGTCACTTCGACTGGTCGAGATGACGAATACCTCTTAGGAGTGTTCAGGACATAGTTATCAGAGGCTGTGATTGAATTCCAACTGACTGCACCCGACACGCCCAGTAGAATGGGGTTGCAGAGCACAAGATTAGGACTCTAATGGAGATGATTTGGTCGATGATGAGTTATTCAGCTTAATTTGTTATAGGGAATGACGCTGGATACATCTTATATCCTAAACCTAGTTCCATCGAAGGTAGTTGTGACTACTCCATATGAATTGTGGAAAGGGCACAAGCTTAATTTTTCACATATTCGAATCTGGGGTAGTTCTGCACATGTTCTGGTGCAGGAGGCTGGCAAATTGGAGAAAGATTGGAAGTACGGGTGTTTGTTGGCTACTCAAAGGAAACAAAAAGTGAATTGTTTTATAGTCTCGAGGATTAAAATGTGATCGTTAGCACGAACGCTAGATTCTTGGAAGAAGACTATATTATGAACCACAAGCCCGCATAGACTGGTCTTAGAGGGGTTGAGGGGTGAAGTCGATATTAAATCAAAGATTTTTAAAATATGATTTTTTTAATATATCATAAATAAAAAGTAAAATTCAATTAAAAAAGTTTATATATATATATATATATATATATATAAATACTAATTTATGATAATTAATATATGAATTAAATAAAAAAATGTAAGAATGATATATGATAACTTCAAAAAAACAATTAAAATAGTTTATGGTAATTCTAAAGTCTAATAGTGAAAATCAAACATGTATATTTATCAATTAAAGCAAAAATTTATGACAAATAAATTTATGACATACACGGGCCTGATAATTAAGCTCAACGCACAAGTCCCTAATCCCCAATCAAAACCACACCACACGCTAACCAAAGGTCCAAAGGTCCCATCCCATTATCCGTTTGCCCTCAAACCACACTTCATTTCGATCTTCCCTTCAAAATGCATTTGCTCACCGCACCTTCAGTTGCAGGCGGCTGTTCATTTCTCGCCCATTTTTCGAACTCCGTCAGCGCATCTGAGATCCCCCTAATAGGAACCCCGTTGAACCTCTCCTGCAGCCTCCCTTCAAACAAGAGGCCAGCTTCACTGAGCGCTTTAAAAGTGTCGGTTTCAAATGGCAGCAGCACGAGTACAGTTGTTGGGCTCGATCAGTCTCTACACCTTGATGATGCTAGGCGTGCTCGGGTGTGTGTGTTTCTCTTCTTTCTGCTTAGAAATTTTTGAGTCGTCGCTTGTTTGGAACGTTAATGAATGATTATGAAGAATTTGTTTTTGTTCCATGTGCTTGATGTTCTAAGAAGAACGGGAAAATCCTGAGTATTGTAGATAGTTTGGATTGATTTCTGTAAAATAATATAGCATTATTGATCTGATTATTTTGATACTTATTTTACGAATTTCCACTATGAGCTTTTTATGTATTTCCTTTGCTACACGAACAAGTAGACGCTTGCTGACTGGAAATCAGCAGAGTCGTTACTACACAAGGGATCAGTCGTTCAGGGAAAAGTCGAAGGATACAATTCTGGTGGCTTGCTGATAAGATTTTATTCCCTTTTGGGATTTCTTCCGTATACGCAGATGTCCCCATCTCATTCATGCAAAGGTATCTTATTAATCTCTGATATTGAAGTCTAGATTCACCAAGGAAAATTGTTCTCATGGTTTATAAACATAAATTCTTCTGGACAAGACTCGTGGTTCAGTATTTTATGAAGAATACTGTAAGTTCAGTTATGAGATACTAGGCTTTGCGTACCCGAAAATGCATCGTTGAGGTTTGTTGAAGTGTGAGATGTGATAAGTATGCTAAATCAAGTTGAAGTTTGAGATTTGATAAGCATGTTTAATCAAGTTACAGATATTTTTTTATGTTACTTCCATGACTAATTCAATGTTCTATTGCTATTGGCATGCCTACTTGGCCTTTTCTGTGCTGCATTATGAGCCATCTTAATGAAGGAGCTAGGGTTATAGCTTAATCTTGCAGTGGAACTTTGGTGTGATAATCAAGCAGCACTCCATGTAGCATCCAATTTGGTATTTCATGGACCAACAAAACGAATTGGATTGTCATTTTTTTTTTTTTTTTTTTGGACAAACTTAGCATTATTGCTATATTTGCTTCTTGAGGGGGAGTGTTAATGTATATGGTATCGATTTGTTAACGTATACATGTTATATCTAGGGTATCAATTAGTATAATATATTGTTATCCTGTAGAATAAGCTATTTAATTTAATATCCTTCTTTAGTTTTATCCTAGACCAGTATATATATCGCTGTATATTATACTCTTGAATAATAATGAAGATGATCTTATTCCATTTTAAAATGAAGCCACTAGTGAAACCAATGTAATTGCTTTTGTGTGAGTGAAATATGCAAAACATTAAAAGTTAAACCTTTGATATAAAAGTTTAGCAAAATAGTAGAAGAATTATCTTATTCTCTAACTTAAAAGTCCTGATAGAAACTTTTTCTGATGTCATGACAATGGTTTTGTATTGTGATGATCGTTTCATTTCATAGCACTTTTTAATCCTTGCCTTTCTAATTCCAGAAGCTCTTGTTAGAACCAGAAGATGTCACTGATGTTCTTTTCCATTTTTCTAGATAATAATGTTGAAAATATTTTTGGAAAATGGATACTGAATACTTAAACATATTTGACATAAGATGAAAATGTGATGTTCTTGTAAAATCGCAATTCTATGTAATTAGTGAATGAAAACTAAGAGAGACCGAATAATATATTTGCAATATGATTTTAAAATGTACAATTCTATGTAATTAGTGAATGGAGACTAATAACAGAGAACGAATAATATATTTGCTGTATGATTTTAAAATGATGATAGTTGATAGTAATGTGTTTTCAGTAAAATAATAATTGGATATGATGGATGAAGCAAAAGTGAATAAATTAATCACTGACACGTGCATAGACATTTTTTTTTATTTTTTTTTTTTTATATTTTTTTTTNGACAGTTGATGATAAAAATACTGGATGGAAAATTTTACTGAACAACTTTTAAAGCAAGCACAACCATGATTGTTTTCTGACATCTCTCTCATTTTACCCTTTTTGTGACATCTACCAATCCCTTTTAAGACTAAGTGTTTCTGGTCTTTTAGTTTCTTTGCCAAATTTTTGTATCTTCAGCTTCATTGATTTATTCAACAAGAAACACTGGCCTCTAATTTTGAGTTATTATGCAGAACCTCACAAGACCATCACAGAGATTGCAAGATCTTTGGTGGGTTCTGTTATTCCTGTGAAGGTATGGGTTCTATAACTTATGCATACCATGTTTACTTTTTCTCACTCCTTTTTCTTTTTCCCTTTATATCCCTTTTGGCTTTCTTGATGCTCGGTTAAGTTGCTAGATCTTGAATGGAACTTCTTGATGCAACTTGTGCAAGTTGTTATGTTTTTTATTTTTTTTTCAGGATAATTCATGAGGTGAAGTATGGAACTTTATATGCTTACATTTAATACTTTTCTGCTACATGTCACACAGAGATCTGTTCATTGATTAATTAGACAATCACAACAGTCTATTCATAGAACTACATCATCTATTACGTAAAATAATAATTTAATTTCTCTCTCTCTCTCTCTCTCTCTCTGTGTCTGTGTTGGGTAAATGTAATTTATATGGTAGTTTTGTTGGATTCTGAGATAATGTCTCATTTGGAAAAACTTAAAAAGTGGAATGGTTCAAAACAAAGGTTATTGATCACTACCTAGTTTTTTTTCCGACTTCTGATCACCTCCTTAGATCTCTTGTTTGTGTGTTTCATTTATCTTTGTTTGCCTGATGTTGAATTGGCTAGAACTTCCAGGGGTTATTTGGTTACATTGTAGATCCTCTTGTGTATTAAGTTAATCCGGGTTCCATATTGTTGTGTGTCATACTCTGAATTTGGCTTTTATGTATTCCTGTATAAGTGACTTCTTGCTCTGCAAACTAAACTGAACAATAATTTTTGTATCTTGCATTGTCCAATGGACTAAATTTAACATGCTTTACAAGGTAATTTGTAAGTGAAGGTAAAGGCATTTGCATAGTTTCTTTGAGTCATGGTTTCTTTCTTGAGAAGCTGACACGCATGCACTCATGCAGCTCAAGTAATTAACCTGATTTGAGAGTAGGTTTTTATTGACGCAACTGTTGTAATACTGATTTCTTATTCTTTTAGTCTCATACTTGTGCAACTGAGTGTGACATCCTCAAATGGCTTCTCATGATAGTTAACAGTAAACCCCTTCTCTTTGGGAGAAAAAAGGGAAAAATAAAGAAGTAAATAACATTTGAGTTCTCGTTCAGGTGATCAAAGCAGATGAGGTTAATAATCAGTTGAGATTCTCAGAAAAGGCGGCCAACTGGTTAATATTCTATCCTCAACTGGAGATGGGTGACATTTTTCATGCCAGGGTGGGATTTGTAGATGAATTTGGCGCCTTTCTTCATCTCCGTTTCCCAGATGGTACATATGTACTTGTATAACACTTTTAGTAAATGTCTTGCGCAAATTTGGGGCAGCAATTGTTGCATGACAAAAACTTGCATAAACTTGCACATATCTGTGGATTATGATTTATGAGTTATGAAAAAAAAAAATTATGAATACTTTCCGTGTAGCTTGCCTTACCTGGCTCAGAACATTTTTCATCATTCTAAGTTAAAACAGCCGAGTTCGTTCACATTTCCACAATCATACTGAGGCAATTCTACAAGACAACAAATACGGCTTGGTAAATCAAATTATTCCCAGCTAAAATTTGATTCCCGTATAAAACCAGAAAAAAAAAATTAAAAAAAGTAAAATAAAAACTTTCATTCTTGTGGCCAAATTGTTTTCCATCCCTCTTTTTTTTATGGCGTCAGCTATTTCGTCGACTTTGTCGGCATGAACATTAGTTGTCTTCTTTATATTCCAACTACTGATCGTGGGCACGAACTCATCATTTTCTATGTTCCTCCTTTTTTCAACCTCTGAACACGAGTCTTTTGCACATACAACTTTCCCCTTCAACGCATGATTTTTCCTTCCAAAGTCGATTGTTCTTGGCCTTTTCATATTCCAACTGAGAATAGGGAGCGGCATCTCCTCATGTTTTTTTCATTTTTGTTTTGCTCGACCTCGGAGCCATTTTGACACTTTTGACTGACGAAAAATGTACTTGGGCTGCCTCATCATTTTTAATTTCCCTTTGTTTTTCAACCTCTAAACATGAGTCTTCTGCGCACACAGTTTTGCCCTTCATCACATGATTTTTCCTTCCAAAGTGGATCGTTCTTGGCCTTTTCATATTCCAACTGACAATAGTGAGTGACATCTCTTCATTTTTTCCAGATCGAGTTGACCTCGGAGCCATTTTGACAGTTTCGGTTGATGAAAATGAACTTGGGCTGCCTCATCATTTTCAATTTTCCTTTGTTTTTCAATCTCGAGTCTTTTGCACACACAACTTTCCCCTTCATCACATGATTTTCCCTTCCAAAGTGAATCGTTCTTGGCCTTTTTATATTCTAACTCAAATTAGTGGGTGACATCTCTTCATTTTTCCAACCTCTGATTTGCTCGACCTCGGAGCCATTGTGACAGTTTTGACTAGCGGAGAATGTACTTAGGCTGCCTTGAGCGAATATTTAGCCGCGAGTGATATGATGGCAGGACTGCTCAATGTATGAAGAAAAAATAAACATATCTGGAAGAAAAAAGAAAAGAAAGACATTGTTGTCACCTTGAAATAATGTCATTCACGTTGTGTGAGGTACGCTCCCATTATAGAGTATCTTTCCACTTGCAACATTTCACTTCTTCTGCAAACTTCCATAACTTTATATATGCACTTATTTTTAAAATGGTCTTATTTGTCTGAAGTAATTTGAAGAATATATATATATATATATATATATATATATATATATATGTCTTAAGTAATTTCTAAAGAAGGTAAATCTTAGAAATTACTTCATATATATATATATACCTTCTTTAAATTACTTCAGACAGATAAGATCATTTTAGAAATAAGTGCATATATAAAAGATCATTTTAGAAATAAGTCCATATATAAAGTTATGGAAGTTTGGAGGAGAAGTGAAATTTTGCAAGTGAAAAGGTTCAGTGTTGGACTCTATAATGAGAGTACCTCATGCAGACGGTGAATGACACTATTTCAAGGTGACAACAATGTCTTTCTTTTCTTTTCTTTTTTATGACGTGCGCTTTTAGCATGGCTTCACATGATGACGGTGACATTACCCTTGACGGGCAATTGGTGGCCAAGAAGGAGATTTTCCGGTATTTGGGATCGATGCTACAAAAGGATGGCGGCATCGATGCTGATGTTAGGCATAGAATTGCAGCCGGTTGGTTGAAATGGCGTCAGGCGTCGGGCGTTCTATGTGATAAGAGGGTGCCATAAAGGCTAAAAGGTAAGTTCTATAGGACGGCGATTCGCCCGACGATGCTATACGGTGCTGAATGTTGGCCTACAAAAAGGCAACATGTCCAACAACTAAGTGTAGCAGAGATGCGTATGTTGCGTTGGTTCTGCGGGCACACAAGAAGGGATAGAATCCGGAATGAGGATATTAGAGATAGGGTCGGGGTGGCCCCAATTGAGGAGAAATTGGTTCAACATCGGCTGAGGTGGTTCGGACATGTCCAACGGAGGCCTCCTGATGCACCGGTGCGTAGGGGAGTTCTTCAGCGGGTCGAGGATGTCAAGAGAGGTAGCGGTCGGCCTAAACTCACTTGGGAAGAGTCGGTTAAGAGAGACCTTAAAGATTGGAATATCTTCAAGGATTTAGCATTGGATAGGAGCGCTGGAGGCTCGCTATCAACGTGCCAGAACCGTGACTTTTGCTCCTTTCTCTCTCTCTCCCTTTTTTTTTTCGATCTCTTCCTTTTGGTTCGAGTCTTTTTGTGTTTCTCTTGGGTTTCATCTCTAGCCTACCCCGACTTGCTTGGGAAAGGCTATGTTGTTGTTGTTGTTGTTGTATTGATCAGCCTTCATATCACTCGCAGCTAAATATCCGCTCAAGGCAGTCCAAGTACATTCTCCGCCAGCCGAAACTGTCACAATGGCTCCAAGGTCGAGCAGATAAGAGGTTGGAAAAAATGAAGAGATGCCACCCACTAATTTCAGTTGTAATATGAAAAGGTCAAGAACGATTCACTCTGGAAGAAAAAATCATGTGATGAGGGGGAAAACTGTGTGTGCAAAAGACTCGAGGTTGAAAAATAAAGGAAAATTGAAAATGATGAGGCAGCCCAAGTTCATTTTTCGTCAGCCGAAACTGTCAAAATGGCTCCGAGGTCGACTCGATATGGAAAAAAATGAAGAGATGCCACTTACTATTGTCAGTTGGAATATGAAAAGGGAATATGAAAAGAAGAACGATTCACTTTGGAAGGAAAAATCATGTGATGAAGGAGAAAGCTGTGTGTGCAAAAGACTCATGTTCAGAGGTTGAAGAACAAAGGGAAATTAAAAATGATGAGGCAACCCAAGTACATTTTTCGTCAGCTGAAAGTGTCAAAATAGCTCCGAGGTCGAGCAAAACAAAAATGAAAAAAAACATGAGGAGATGCCGCTCACTTGGAATATGAAAAGGCTAAGAACAATCGACTTTGAAAGGAAAAATCATGCGTTAAGGAGAAAGTTGTATGTGCAAAAGACTCGTGTTCAGAGGTTGAAAAAAGGAGGAACATAGAAAATGATGACTTCGTGCCCACGATCAGTAGTTGAAATATAAAGAAGGCAACTAATGTTATATGGAAAGTGAATTTTGCGGTAACACATTTGATAATGACTCGTTGGATGCTTTGGACTGGAGAGCAATTCATGTTGGACTGGAGAGCAGTTCATGCCGACAAAGTCGACGAAATAGCTTAGGCCATAAAAAAAAGAGGGATGAAAAACAATTTGACCACAAGAATGCAGGTTNTTACTTTTTTTAATTTTTTTTTTCTGGTTTTATACGGGAATCAAATTTTAGTTAGGAATAATTTGATTTACCAAGCCGTATTTGTTGTCTTGTAGAGTTGCCTCAGTATGATTGTGAACGAACTCGACTGTTTTAACTTGGAATGGATGAAAAATGTTCCGGATAACACAGCCAGGTAAGGAAAGCTACACAAAAAGTATTCATAATTTTTGTTTAATACGCATGCCAAGTCTAACATGAATAATCCCTATATATCATCCTACATGTTCTCTGGTGCTTCATATTTCTACGTGTCTCGAATTTTGGTGTTTCATAATCCTATTTGTCGATTTCTTGCGCTTCTAAGTAGACCATATAGAGTCAGATTATATTCATAACTATTAGAATTTTTAAAACTATAAAACACTTGAATAAGTTAAATTATAAATATATTTAAATGTTAATAATTTTTGTATTTCCCGTCCATTGCAACTGGAGCTGGAAGAGTCATTGTTGACAATTCTCCTGGTATAGTGCTAATAATGGACTAAATCAAAATGACTCAATTAAATTCTAGTGCTTCTTCTATTAGTGAAGTTTCTAGAAAAAAAAAATATATCAAACAGCGCAATGCACCTTGGGTCGCTACGGAAACCTCCTTGTATAATTACAAGGGTAAGGTCTGCGTACAACTGACCCCCAGACCCCAACCTGTTGGGAATATACTGGGTATGTTGTTGTTGTTGTAATATTTTTGTATTTGTTATTATTTTTTCATATATGATATATCAAATTAATCATTTTTTACGACCATTGATTTGATATCCATTTATATTGCATATATTAATTAAATAAATAATTTTATTTCTTATAATAAAATTAAATTATCTGTTAATGCTAATTCATAATAAATAAATTTATATATCAATTAGAAAATTTATCTATAAACTTGTTACATACAAATTAGAAAAATTATAATATAAGATGGACAACTTTTATAGATAAATTTTAAATATAAACAAAAATACAATTTTTTCTTAAAGGAGTTGAATTTAAATAAAACTTTTCTTTTTACATTTGCTTTGAGAATTTCAGTATAAATACTATAAGCACACATGTAACCATAGGTGTTGTACTAGTATGAATTTAAGATTGGTGGGTGAAGATTTAGTTTGAAATGATACGATTGACTTATTTGACCCATATGATGTTATTGTGCAAGTTGCAAAATCTATTTTTTTTTTTTTTTNTGGTTGCATATGTAGTAGTCTAATTAGTTTACTGTAAAATGATCAAATTTAAGTAATTATAACCTTCAATGAGAAAAAAGACGTGTTATCCAACTGTTCTAGAAATTGGCCTAGGCGGTGCCCTGCCGCCTCCGATTTGCACAATCAGCCGAAAAAATCGGCCAGGCGGCCCTAGGCGCTCCTAGGTGGACTTAGCAGGCTCGGCGGCCGGGCGGTTAGGCGGCGCCTAGGCGGACCTAGGCGCTCCTAGGCGGGCTCGGCGGTAATTTTTCAGTTTTTTTATTTTTTTTATTTTTTTAAATACTAATTACACTATTTTGTTCTTATGTTTTCTTTAAAATAAATTAATATTATTATTTGGACTTGGGTGTGTGAATTTTATATAAGTTTAGATAGTTTTATTGGAGGTAGTTAAAATAAATAAAAAATAAGATATTTAATATTGATTTCTAGGCCCCCGCCTCGGCGCTCTAGGCGCTAGGCGTTGGTCGAGCGCCTAGCGGCGCCTAGCAACTTCTAGAACTCCGTATATATAAGTAAATAACTATAGCAGTATTGGTTTCTTGCAATGGGGTTGGAAAAATGAAACTCTGTGTCAGTTTAGAGTTGGGAATCTGACATGACCAGTTAAATGGGCAGAGTTAAACTGAGACGATAAATCTGGCACAAAGAATAAGGAGGTTATGCGGTATATGATAGAAATTACACCCCTGGTGCAAATTATCTGATATTACAATCACTCCTGAATTTGTTGCAGGGCTTTATCATCTCACTGGAAGAGTGCATGTCTCAGAAGTATCATGGGACTTTGTCCAAGACGTGAGAGATGTCCTGGCTGTGGGTGATGAAGTGAGAGCTAAAATTGTGCATATAGATAGGTGACTGCAGTATTCTACTCTTAAATCCTGTAAATATGTACCTTTTACTCATCGATATTGCGATTATAGAGTTGCATGCATGCCAATAAATTCCCCTGTTCATAAATGGGGCTTCTTTCCTCATTCAAACGTTCTCTGCTCATATATTGGGCTTTTTACCTCATTCAAAAGAGTACATTTATATGCACAAGTATGTACGGTTTATTGACCATTACCTTGCAGGAAAAAGCCATTAATCAAATTGTCCATAAAACAACTGTTTGAAGATCCTCTTAGAGAAACTTTTGAGAAAGATATTCCTCAGGTACCTGCACTTTATTTTCTATGCTGAGCAATTTTTTAACTATTAGTGTACAGTCGAAACACTGATGCATGTGTTACAGGATGTCTCAGCAGATCCTAATGCATTAGACGAAAGCGCTCATTTTACCATAGAACCTCTTCCTGGGCTTGACACAATAATTGAAGAGCTATTGAAGGAAGATGGGTATGGTTATATTGAGAAAAATATGAATTCACGTATTCCGAATTCCAGTGTTCTCGTCTTTTCCTGATATGGGATAACTAAGAGTGTGATTGGATATGAATTTGATTTAGTTTTGATTGGTTTTTGAGTTAACTATAGTTAATTTTGAAAAAGGTGATATGGTTAGTTGTTATTAGGAATTTAATTTTAAATTAAAATAATATTTAAAATAAAATAATTAAAGTTGATTTAATCCTAAAGTAGATGAAAAATTATTAGAAGTGACAGTTAGTTAAAATTATGTGATTGGATGAATAGTTAATTAAAGTTGATGTGATGTATAAGAATGATGAGTTGATATTATTTATTAATTATATTGATAATATTGAGGATAATGTAATTGAGTTAAAGTTGAGTTAAATTTGAATTTTGATTGGTTTCTTATTGGTCAAGTTTATATCCAATCATACCTAAGTAACTTGGACTTTGCTTGGTTTTGTAGCCCATACTTGGTTGAGTAATGGGATCAAGAAAACTTGACAAATTCTCACATGAATGCTTCCGCGTTCTTATTCTTATATTCTCTTTCGTGCTTTTAAAAGGGTCAATTTTCCTGGCTCATGGTTTTTTTCTAATTGCATCGGTTCTAAAGTGCCTGTTTATATGTTTGATGCCCTTGAGATATCTATTAGTCTTTGGTACACGCATCTTTGGCTCCATATAGTTAGACGTTATAGCTAATGCCTGACACCATTCATAGTTGGTACTGGTTTTTGACATTTTGAGCTTTGTGTTTATGCATTCCAGCATAGATGGTGTGCAGATCAGTAGACAAAGATATGAAAAAAGGGCACCTTCCCAGGACTTGCAGCTTTGGCTTACAAATGTAATTACTAATACGACATCTCGTAGTTTTTTATAGTAAACATTGACGTTATTCTGCATTTTAGTTGCAGATGTAGGAGAAAATCTTATGCACTAAATCTCATATCTTTCTTGTACAGTCACTACCTTCAGGAGGTCAATACACCCTTCTTGCTCGAGCAGGACGACAGGCAAATTAATTACCATCAATACTACTTAATTTTCCTGTCTCTTTCTCTCTCCCTCTTTCTGAATATAAATTTGATGTTCAGGTGCAAGAATTACAACTGTCAACATACCTTGATCTAGATGGAATTAAGAGTGCACTGGAGCGGGTGCTGGAAAGCATTCCGCTAGAGAATTCTCTATTGGTGTAACTGATTTACATCTATTAGTTTTAGATGTACATAATCAGCATTGAAGCTCGTTTTTTATACTGCGAATGATTCTGTGTTATTTCCCCTTCCAGCTTTCTTTGTACACGTACTTTTGCCTCAAATATTTTCTTACATGTTTGCCTCACCCAAAATTTCCTCCTCTGAGCTGACAAATGCTATTTTCTTGGAAGTTTGCATGTAAGTGAAGCTGGAATTGACTTGTCAAAGATGTTGAATTTTGTTTCCATTATGTGAGTTTTAGTGAGTCGGCGATTTCCGAAGTGAGCTTCGGGGTGTATTGTGTTTGTGTCCTGTAATGGTTTGAGAACATTTAATAGGGAGTCCAAATTGTAGCAAAAATGCAAAATATGTCATAAAAATAAATACAAACAATGGTGGAACCAAAAACCATTATTAGTTTCCTAAGCAAAAATTATGGAAAATACAACCTTTTACTTAATAGTTAGTGTAGTTATCAATTTGAAAACTGAATCGGTTCAATGGTTCACTGGTCCGATCAGTGGTTGAACTCATTTATCTGATATATAATTTTTTATTTATTTATATTTATAATATATAATTATTTATATGTTATTTCTTTAAATAAGAGTTCAATAATATATAAAAAGCTGACATATTAAATAATGTTGATAAGTTTTTTTAATATTTTAAATTTTAATCTATATTTAAATTATAAAATAGAGAGAATAGATACAACCAAGTTTGGGAGTGTCTGGGAAACGAGAAGTAAGAGGAGAAGAAGAGAAAGAAAAATGGAAAAAGAATAGATATTTGTGTATAAATCGTATATTTATAAATATTCTGACTATTTGGTTTCTTTTTGCTAATAAAATATTTTCGTAGTAGACGTGTAATATTTTATGATCAAATGATGTGTAGGGTAATTAACAATTATCTCTAGTATATAAAGTTCCATTTCATACACAACGCAGACTCACATACTTAAGCATATAATTTCCTCGAGCGAGTACTAACTTGAGCTTCTGAAGTTTTTCCGTCCAGACCCCTCACAAGTCTAAGTCAATGCAACGAAAATGCTAGGTAACCAAATAAAAATTGACACCCAGAAATTTGGATCATGTACAAAGAATTTAACCTCGCGACCGCAAATCTTTCCACGCCTCGGCACAAAGAATAGTATAGAAAAAAAGGAAAAAAGAACAACACATTTATAGAAAACCCCATTCCTATATACACACAAAATTAGATACACCTACACATCCTGCGAATAATCCAACAGAGCAAACTTGACATGCAAACCGATCTTGCCGCCATCCGTCACCAACTTAGCAGCCGTGACAAGCCAATGCCCAGGGACATCGTACGGCCCGCGCACCACCTCAGCAGTGTCCACATACTGCAGCAGCTTCGCAGACCGAACCTGGACAGGCGGGCCGTCCGGGTACACCCCCGAGTTAAGAGTAGCCGCTTGGGCCTGCTTTTTCGTGGGGTCCGCTTCTGACCGCTGGGCTGTGAACGTGAAAGTCGTGCTAAGATTCGTGAAAAAACTCGACTTTCGAGAGGACTCTGGCACGGAAGCCCATTCTGTCTTGCGAATGGTGCAGTTGGGTAAATGTGTGTAAAGGAGTCGGAGGTGAAGGATTTTCCTCGGCCATTTTCCTTTGACGATGAGCTGTGCACCTGTCACGACGAAAACGCCCCCACTAGAGGAGGTTAACCAGGAGGGATCGTATTTGACCACGGATGAGCACACGTTAGAGTACTGTTTCCAGCGCACGGGTTCGAAGAACTGTTCGCACGAGTCGTAATCGTCCGAGCCTCGCCACTGGGGTTTTCGTGATGTGGGAGTAGCTGCTGGCGTGATGATGCTTGGGTGGCTCGAGAGATGTTGCACGTGTATTGCGAGACGGTTGCTTTTCTTGCCTTCGAGGTAGAGACGGAGGCCGGTGATTGGTTTTTGATCGCTCGTGACCTGCGCTAGAGGTGTCACGGCTCAGAATTTTACTCCCGACACTAGCAGTTGCATAAGAGGAAATTTTGCTTTTTTAGTCCTGTATGTTTCAGTTTTCACTACCCTAACTTTTTCGTCCTCTTCGAATTGCGTTTTTTTTTCGTCTCGTATGTTTACAAAAAGGTCTTTTATGTTTTGCAAAAAAAGGTTCCAATTTCATCTCTTATGTATGAAAAAAGGACATTCTTGTAACATTTTTGCCAAAAAAAAAAGGGACGAAAATAAAAAACGAAATTTGAATAAAAGAGTAGATTGTTCGGAAACTATCTCAAGACCCAGGATGAGTTTTCACACGTGTGCACAGTTACGCAATAATAAACTATTAAACTTTTATACATGGTTTTCAAAATCACAAAAATAAAGGTTCAGTGGATTGAATATTAATTTTGTGCTTACGATTCATCGGGGACCAAGTGTTGTTTATCGAGGATGGACTGAATCAATTGGCCATTAAACTCGCTAATTTAAAACGGACGGACAAAAAAAAAAAAAAAAGTAACAGTTTCACTAGTGTACTTAGAGTATACAAGTACTTAAACTGGAATCACCATGAAACAAACACGCTGAATGTGAGGACCAATGAAATCATGAGATGCTCAACTGAATTCATCTTTACATTGAAAAAAGAGATCATGTATGCAAAAGTCCCACAAGTAAACTTGATTACTTCAGGTGTCCGAAGAAAATGTGCCCTTCCATGAGCAATCATGATTTATGAAGATGTTAACATTAGTTATTCATGAATATCATGACCAAAACATGATATATTGGCCAGTGACATTAAAATCATTCAGAATTGATGAGAGAAGCCATAATCCACAATCAAAATCATTCGGAATTGAGGAGAGAAGCCACAATCCAAAATCAAGAATAACATCACATGCATATTTACTTAATGCATCATTATTAGATTGAAAAGAAAATGTGCATACCTGAGTGGAGCTGACATAAACTTTTGGACCTAAGAAGCTAAATTGTATAGAAGGGAATGAGGTCATCTTCCTTTGATGTCGAAGGGGCAACTCACAGAACAAAGGAGCCCACTGACTCGGAACTTGAAATTCCAGAAAATATGGCAAATCTTCTAGAGTGGGTTTATCTGAAAAAAAGAAGCATACATGTTAACAGTTAAAGCCCATACAAAAGAAAAATAATGTCATAATTGATGCAGACATGTTTACTGGTTACATAGACAAAGATATGGGGAATAAAGATGAGGAAATGTAATATTAAGCATTCTGGTCAGAGAATCTGAAATCATACATCGTAGATATAAGTTAATGGCATGACTAAGGTAGCCACTCCCCGGAATTCCATTAAGAAGAGAGGTAATTGGTACAAATTTAAAAAGTACAGCTTCGGGGTTTGCTGCCATGGTCTGGAGCCACCTGGAGTGACTTTGTGAAAACACATCACCTCCTCTTTTTGACCAAATAAGGGTGAGTCCCTATGAAAATTACAACATATAAATCACTACGTGAATAATAATTTAATTATGCCAGCAAGTAATAAAGGATGAAATGAAGTAACTAACATCCTTGCTTGATGTTTCTGTGATGCTGGTAAACTGCATCGTATGTGCCTGTAGCATACGACTAAACACCTCTGGAACCTGCATATTTTTCCTGATATTACTATAAATGTAAATGTTTAACTGAAACCAACCAAAGAATGCAAAAAGACCTGAACTAAAGTCCTTATGTTCATACACACCTTTTTCTTGTTATCTTTTGCCATTCTCTCCAATATAGGACTACTAGCATCAGAGAAAAGGCAATCTCCAAGTTCTTCCAAATATCCTTTGAGTTCAGCTGGTGGAATTGGAGAAGATGGCTTCTGTTTAACACAAAGCAAATCCTGGCCTCCAACTGCCATTCCCACAACTATATGTGTTCCATAAGTTTGGATAAATCTGGTTTAATAAGTTCACATCAGGAGGGAGTTGATGTCAGCGTGTGACTAAGAACAACTTAACCTATACAAACCAGATTTTTTGGTGACTTCTTTTTCATTTAATTAGCTTATAACCATGAACGATGTTTGAGAGCAGGATGAACAGCAGTGAACTTAAAGACCAACTTATCCATATAGGTGAATCAACAAGGGATAGCTATAATGAACTAATTTTAGTTAAGTATTCGAAATCAAAGATTGCAGGTGTAATGGTCTTCATGCCAAAATAAAAGGGAATTACAAATACATTAGACATGTACCAGCAATGAATTAGGATGATTACTAATGAATACATTTCTAGCCCACTAAATTTGCATAGCCTTTGCTGTAACTGTCCACTAACTAGTATTGGGTTGCTTTAATAAGAATACACCCTAATGAATCATAATTCTATCCTGTTCCAAAAGACACTATTATGTCACTGCGAGTGATGCTGATCTCAGAAAATTTGAAGAACATTTTACATAAAATGGGTTTTGGAGTGTAGATGTGTATATGAGCAATTGAAGCAATGGCTTGCGCGAAATTGTGTTGAATGAAGGGTGTCTCCCTGCTCAACAGCAGTTATCAAGGTCGTGGATGATAATGAAAACAGTATGATGCTTTGGGTTCTCTTCTGTCAATGGCCTTCCATCATAATCAGCAGTTAGCAATTAGAATTTAGCGGCTTTTGTTAGTTGTATGACCGACGGATTGTAATAATTTTTTCGACCAGTGGATATGATTAGCTATTTGTAAAGAAACTGTATTATAAAATTAGTTGTTTACTATTTTTTACTCTTATAAAATTAGAGTTTAAATTGTTTGGAAGGGTATTTGTTAATTTTTTACTTTTCTTTATGTTTCAATTACAATTACAAAACATTTTTTTTTTTTTTTTCAAAAAGAATATAATAAACAAACAAAAAATTGATAACCGAACATTTGACATTTGGAGTTAAAATATTTAAAACATAAAGGTAAATAATATTTTTGTGTAACAATAAATTGGTTTTCCTATTGCATTTATTTATTTGAATTAACGAAGAAAACAACATTCAAATAAAAAATTACATCAATTTTGGATACGCAAAATTAGTCCATAAAGATATTTAATGGTAAAAAGTATCAACTGCAGGTTATTTACATAGCTTCTTGTGCAACTACTTAGGATTTCTTTCTTTCTTTTCTTTTTCCCTTTCTTTTTTTTTTCTTTTTTCTGTTTTTTCCCTCTCTTCCCAGCCATGCAAGTCCCAAAAGTATAATTAGATACAAGATAATAAACTAGCTAACACTCAATCCTCTAATTCCAAATGCTCCAATGCAGCATTAATTCTTCCCTTTCTTCCAATTCATAGAGTTGAACAAGAAGTAACGAAATATCAGTTTCAGAGGTTTTTATCCGGTTAAATCAGCCAAAATAACATTTTGGCCATAAACTCTCAAAAGGCCAAAATATGGCATGCATGGCATGATTGTCAGGGCTTGGTGGTGAAATAAATGTTTATGAATGGTGACACAACCATGGTTAGCCCGACAAAGGAAAAGTGGAAACGCTAAGAACCAGTAGAAACAAGGCTAAACAAAACCAGCTAAATGGAGATAGGAAGAAAAGTTGTCACCAATCAACTTTAGTATCAGACAGCTTTACAACCTAGTATACGAGGTACTAAATCTACAAATCAATCTAGTGGTCCTTAGTCATGCAACCAGACCTTAACCCACTTGTTAACAAATTTCCAGAAGACGAATCATAGCTATCTTCACAAGTATTTAATCATCATATTAAATTCTGATTATTGGACAGCTCCAATAAGAAGGATAAGAAAATGAAGGTAATTGAGACTGTAAAGCAAAGCAACTATTCCATAGAAATCCTAAATCACTTCCTCTGGAGTTTGGTTATAACATCAAAGCGCCAAAAAGAACCATACATGAAAGATTTTGTATCAATTAGAAATCTAATTACAGAATTACACACACCCGAAAATTCAATTCTCTTCGCCATGAAAAATTACCTGGATAGTGCGGCTGGATCCCATCTAGATGGAACAGATTTCTTGACATGGTCGTGAAGAACTAAAGGCGACGTGTTTAGATGCAAAGAGTAAAGAGAAATGAAATAGCCATCAAAAGCCAAATACTTGGCATCCCCAGCATCATTTAACCAGGCTCCGCTCAAATCGAAAATAGCATTCATATACCCCGATGGAACTTTTCCCTGTACGGACGATTTCTGATTGAGCAGCTCCGACATCTGTCAAAATTATTTCACTCTCCACACATTAGCAACATCGATCAAGGGTTTTCTCAAGGTCGAACTTCAAACCCACGAATATTGAAATACAACAGAGGGTATTAACCTGGTTGAATTTGAGCACATCGGACTTGAAGCGAATGTGATCCCCTTTGTCGACCCGTATGCACTCAGGCACATCTGGAATGGTTAGGCCTCCCGGAACGACGACGTCTCGCTTGCGGTGGTGGTCTAGGAGAAGCAATCCGCCGCCGCCGCCGCCGCAAGGGCACCGCTTGACGAACTTGAGCCTGAAATCGCTGGCAAAGTCGAATCCCTGGCCCAAGGACTCGATTGCCCGAAACTCGACAGGCTTCTTCTCGTACTCGTCTTCCACCATGATTTCCGGTGACTGACAAAAATCAGGTTGAGTACGAAAATGGGATTAAGACTGGTTGTTCTTTATAAAACTAGGAAGATTTATCCGAGTGTTGACCACCAAATTCATTTTTCTTTGACTTTTCTGTTGGGTTGGCCAGTCTTTGTTCCTTATTTTTTCTTTAAAATAAGATTAGTTGAAAGATTATGACATATGCTGCCTAATATCAAAAGAATTGTGCTGTTTTGATCATACTTGTTACCAATTCTTTGTGAAATTAATTGCTTTTGACTGATTGAATTATTATGATAGGTGGAAAGAGAACTAAAATATCTACACGTAATGAAATGAAAAGGATAAAGAAAACTTTGAACACAAGTTAAAGCAATAGAAGAATTGCTTTAGTT